ATTTGATGTTAAGAGAATTTTTGGACTCAATAAAACTAAAAATGGTTTTAAATACCTGTTAACTTACTTGTCTAAGATTTTTAGAGGGATGAATCTCTAAAAAATCAAGTTAAATTGAAAAAACTTGTTACTGAAGTTGTTTTAAAAACTACCTGCTAAATATTTTGAATGGTAAGTATGTATTATTTATCTCAGTAAATTTAGATTTTAGGGAATTTTACCGAATTTCCAACAGGTCTATTGGGAATAAGCTATTACTCTTGACTGGTGTTTTAATAAAACACACAAATTAAACGTAAGTTATTTATTTGAATGAAATTAAATTAAATTACATAATTCACAATTGTACAACATCTTACTTAGACAGAGGCCATGAAAAGAAGGAAGAGCTAAGCTACTAATTTCAGTAAGAAGAAAACCATAGAGTAACATGATTTACTGTACATGATATGTTGAGATGAATGAGCTTATACTATATCAACAATTACCGTGAGTCTTGGTAAGACCGACCCAAGACCATTACTTTATTTTTCTTTATTTTCCCCGCAGCATACATATTTTATTAAGCCGCAGCAAACCTGCAGACTAAGCAAATTTCCTTTTGCCTGATTGGGTTTACACTAAAATGTCTCCTTAAAAATATCACATTTATTCCCTATTTAAATATAATTAGTTTAACGAGTAGGTATATAGGTTTGCTGCAACAGGGAGGGTAAAAAAGATGTTTTTTGTTGTAAAATGTTAATAGTTTAGTAAGAAATGAATGTATTTTCCAAATTTGATCAAAATATGTTTGTAAACAAGCAAACTACAACAGTTGACTTATTCTCCATAAGAATAACATGGGAATTTTAAATTTACAATTTTTTGTAATCTTCTCCGCAACCATTAGGCGCAAAATCACGCTTCAATAGGCCTATACTAATTTTTTTTTAAGTTTTACAAAATGGTTAGGAAAGAAATTGTGAAATTTTGGGGTTTTATTGTAAAAAATTGAAAAAACCCATTTTTACCCTATAAATCCCCCGAATGAAAAAGTAAATTGGTCTCGGGTCCAGGTCTTACCATGAGTACTACCACTACGGTAATAGCTTATTCCCTATATGGGAAATTCGCTAAAAGAAACAAATCTGACATGTTTAATGGAATATTTTAGTGAAAATCAAATCAGGCAATTGGAAATGAGCTCAGTCTGCAGAGTTGTTGCAGCGGGGTACAATTTTGTTTCTTTTAATTGTTGACAACAATGGTGTGCCGTCTAAAGATTTTACTCTAAACTTAGAAAAAATGTTTCATTACATCTTGGAAAGCTTTTGTGTCATACTTTAATCTAATCTTAAATTTATTTTGCTTTTGTATTGTGATACGGTACATTTTGTACAAAAATGCCTGTTTGCTTTTATACATGCATTGGTTTGTAATAATTTGTCCAAAGAAAAACTTTACTAATAGATAATACAGTACTGTATACAATAATTAAACCCCTAGAATGCCTTTGAAGTCAGTAAATTATCATAAGGGTATGCTCTAATCCTTAGGCATCTAGATATCCACTCCACAGAGAAATATTGAGGGTGTATGACGCAATGTTTCATTTTGCCATGTGAGCTATGGTGTTTTGTTATGGGGACACACACCCACGACCGAAGACATTGATCCTGCAAGAGCTCTGACAACAATCACCTTCAACGATTGTCTGGCTCACCCCATAAAATATCCCCGCCGCAGCAATCCTGCCGACTAAGTGAATTTCCATTTGCCTAAATTGATATAGCCTACAATTAAATCTATTTAAATAACATTAGGTTAAACGAGTACCGAGAATTTCTACTAAAGTGAGGCTAACAAAGTGTGTTCTTTTGTAAAATATTAATAGTTTAGTATAAAATAAATAAATTTGCCAAGTTGTATCAAATATATACAAAAACAAGCAACCTACAACATTTTACAATATTCTCCATAAGAATTACATGGGGAATTTCAAATTTAAAATTTGTTTGAATTTTCTCCGTAATCAATAACTGCACAACACTTCAATATACTAAATTATTTGACTCATTAACCTCTTTAAAATGTTCTAGAAAGAAATTGGGAAATTTTGTGTTTTGATGGCCAAAAGTGAGAAAAAAAATTTTTTACCCCATAAAACCCCCTGTAAAACCCGGTTCCCATCATCTGATCATGCTGGTTCACAAATTCATTCAAGTATATTCTGCCTTACACCTTCAAACCAAATTTCATCAAAATTAAACAACAATTACTGAAGTTATCGCGTTCACGGACACACACACACACATACATAATTTTATATTTTTCTTTTATAGTTTTGTTGACTTTTTACCAAGGAAAAATGTGGTTCGGATTCCACTATAAACTGTAGGTCCCTTAGTTGCCATTAGCTGTATGGGCTATTAATTAACAGCTGTGTCTAAGGAATATGTCGGCCTTAGTCACTAACAAGACTATAAGATCACGCCACTCATCCTACACTCATCTCCATTCATACTTGGCTTAAAATACCTACTATATGTATGGTCGCCATTTCATTGAACAGTATTGAACAGAACTGTTTAAGCTACGCCCGGGTACTTATAATAAGCCCGTCCCAACAGGGTGCCTTAAACCATCCCGGGTCATTTGCCTCCACCCTCCCCGACCGGGTGTTTAAGCTACACTCGGGCACTTATGGAAGCCCCGACACTTCTGGGTGTGTGAATCGGCACGGGCCGATTATGCTGGTGGCCCGGCTGTGCAGTGTGTCCCAAACCGACCCGGGCCAATTGTGGTAGCCCGTTGGGCCCGGGACACGCCCGTAGACCGGTGTGTACGGGCAACCGCAATGGCCTTGGCCATGTGCCCCACCCGCCCCGGCCGGGTGTCGGAGCTATGCCCGGGTACTTATTCTAAGCCCGTCCCACCCAGGTCACCCAAACTGCCCGGGCCAATTGTTCCCACCCTCCCCAACCGGGTGTTTAAGCTACGCCCGGGCACTTATCGGTAGCTCGTCCCTCCCGGGTGTCTGAATCGTCCCGGGCCGCATATTGTGGCCCGGCTTGGCAGGGTGTTCCAAACCGGCCCGGGCCTATTGTGGCAGCCCGTTTGGCCCGGGTCACGCCCGTAGACCGGTGTGCACAGGCTACCGCAATGGCCCGGGCCATGTACCCTACCCACTCCTTATAGATACCTCCGGGGAGAAATCAACCCCGTCATCTCTCGCACCCACCTTATTTGAATATTACTCCATTGACAGTTAACTCATCCCCATTTTATAAACGAACTCATTATAATCATACCCCTACCACCAATTTGACTTTGCTGTAAGTTTCCTTGGGCGTGGTACTCGAGTCATTCTTATAAGCATCTAGGCTAGCAGTAACGTAGCCAGGATTTCAAAATAGAGGGGGTCGAACGACCGGGGGGGGAGTCTGGGGGCCCCCAGGTAAAAGGGGGTCCGGGACATTTTTTTAAAAATATATGCCCAAAAACGGCCTTTTTTAGCTCTCTTGGCATTGAAAATTATCAACCCCAACGTCAATACAGTATAATTATATAATTTTACATTTAATTTAACAAAAAAATATTATATTTAAGACCGGAAGGGGGGTCCAGACCCCCAGGACCCCCCTTGGCTAGCTGACGGCTACGCTGGCATTTTCGTTACATTGCTACGTTTAGAATCACACACCGCTCTACATTCTTGTCCCACATGTTCCAAATTTTACCACCCACAGACCTTTCGATCAACGACCAAAATCAATAATTTCGTATAAGGTACGCCCGGGCACTTATGTGGAGCCCGTCCCTACCAGGTGTGTGAATCGGCCCGGGCCGAATATGGTGGCCCGGCTGGGCAGGGTGTCCCAAACCGACCTGGGCCAATTGTGGTAGCCCGTTCGCCTTAAACTCCAGGCCGCGGCCTTGGAACTGGCAACGTCGCATGTGGTGTTGTAACAGCTGTTTTGTTTGGAAGCAGCTAATGGTATTTGTGTATTTACAAATAGAGAGAGAGAGAGAGAGAGAGAGAGAGAGAGAGAGAGAGAGAGAGAAATACTTTATTAAGCAATCGTCAAGATTGAAAATGGCGTCATAAACAATTTACAATATTTACAAATACAAAAAATGTGTACAAAAGCGAATGAGTCCATGTTTTACACTTGGAAATTGGGCCAGTCCAAAAATTCTGTTACAGAAAAAAATGGTCGTTCAATCAGCCACTTGTGCAACGTCTTCTCTTCAGACCTCTTTCACTTCCATTGGTAGGATATTGTACAGCTTGGCTCCGGCGTATGTGGGCTTTCGCTGAAAACTCGTTGTGCGGTGCACTGTCAGGTTGAAGTCCTGAGCGTTCCTCATGCTGTATGCGTGAAGGCTTTTGTTTCTCTTCAAGTTTGCGGAGTTTGCAAGGTGGATCACTTCCAGAAGGTAAATGTTGACCACAGATTGGTTACTGGACTATGACAATATTGACTCCGCTCAAAAATGTACAGATATAGAATTTTAATTCATATTGTTTCGGTTTTCAATTAGTGTTTTATTTTCAATATTTTAATAAATTTATGTTCATAAATTTAAATTTAAATCAATAAAGTGCGAATTAATGAGCTGATGTCACCTGTCTATCATGTTATCTTATGGGACGCCTGTCACTGAACAACACCACTTGCGACGTTGCCAATTCTACCAGGCCGCGGCCTGTAGTTAAAGGCGGCCGTGGTCACGTCCGTAGACCGGTGACTGGTGTGTACGGGCTACCGCAATGGCCCGAGCTATGTGCCCCACGTTTTAGTATAGGGAATGCCATTGATTATTGAATATTGGAATAATTTATCATTCTACAATCATTGATAATATTCATTCACATTGATTATTATTTCTATGGTTGAGTCTTGAGTCCTGTACAAGATCCTTGAACTTGCTGAAGAACTAGACTGGACCGACTGTAATATGTCTGTCCAACATTCTGTCTGACGTGATTCAGTGATGTCATTTTGGTATCATCTTCTTGTAATTTTGTAAACAACGTCGTCGTCTCGTCGATTGCTGTGCAAGTTTCTTTGATATCGCGAGATTTAAAATAACAAACATAATATTTCTTTGTAGGTTTAGTACTTGATATGTATTTAACAAACTAATGGTTTCATATTGTCTAGAGTTTGTACATTATTTGCTAATTTGTGTAGTCTTACTTCAATGGCTATGTATATGAACAATAACTTTCTCCCTGCAGGAAAGTATATGAGGAAAGACTCGACTAAATTAAAGAAATCATGATAAAAATATAAAATCCAATTACTTTTTATCATAATACTGATGGCTTTGTGGTGATCTTAAAGAGGCTTTATCAGACAACTATTTAATTTAATTACAATGCTGGTTGTTGGCCTGAGAGTTGTTAGAGGACCTGATTGGGCATGGGACAATCAAGATAGAGGGGAAGGTCATGTTGGAACAGTTGTAGAAGTTGGTAAACCAGGATCTAAAGTGTCCCAAACTGTGTTTGTTCAATGGGATAGTGGAGATAAAACAAATTACAGAGCTGGATACAAAGGAGCTTACGACCTGAGGGTGTTTGATAATGCACCAGCTGGTAAGTAAACTTACCATCTTACTATAATTTTTTTAGCTTATTAGCGTTAACCAGCGTACGATGCTACGCTTAACAACTATTATCTTAAATGGTAATCTGTTGTTTAAGATAAATAACAAAAACTACAACTAGAAAATAAAATAATAACTTAGTCTTAGTTTGAAAAACTTGATTGATTGATGCTTTTACAGGTGTTAAACATGCTAGTATTATCTGCGATGGATGTAAAATTCAAGGAATCGCTGGCATTCGGTACAAATGTACTCGATGTTATGACTATGACCTGTGTGGACCTTGTTACCATATGGACAAACATGACCTCAACCATATCTTTCAAAGATTTGAGACTGCCAATGCAATTGGGTAAGACTGCTCTGAAATTAATCGTTTTAATGTTAAGTAGGCTATAGGTTCTAAAAATAACATACCTAAGTTACCTAATTTACCAACTTCTGTAATTTATGTTTTACAAAACTTATGAATTGATAGGCTACCTTTTAGTTGGCCTACTAATGCTGGGATTTACTCTAGAGATTTATTCTGATTCAGGTTAGTTAGGCCTAGCCTTTGGCAAGTAGTTTTCACATTATTTACACAAGTTCTAAATGAAACTTTAAAACTACCTAAGTTATAGGGCCTAATGTATGTTGCGCAATCCGTAACCTGCTAATTGCAAACCATGCTTTGCTTAGGCCTACACTGTTAAATCCTCAATTTACATCTTTTTTTAATTTGTATAGGCCTTCTTGGTTATGTTTTTGACAAACAAAATTATAAAGTATGAGCTCACTGTTATGCTTGTGGCATTTTTACAAGAGATGATGGACGGGGTACTTGAACGCTTTTAGTGAAAGTGGTCCTGATCCACATGTTTTGTGAATGTTTCTCTCATGCACCTAAGTATGGGACACTAACCACTAGGCTAGCAAAACATTGACCTAAAACTGACCACTATTGTATTGTAACTGATCAACAAATTTTCATTTACAGAGTCGAAATGGTTGCTCGAAAAGGAAGCAAGAAAGTCCAGTGTAAGGGTATCTTCATCGGAGCGAAGGTGATCCGAGGCACAGACTGGGAGTGGGCTGATCAGGACGGCGGCCCCGGACATACAGGGAGGGTTGTGGACATCAAAGGGTGGGACAACGAAACCAGCCGCTCCGTCGCCAAGATCACCTGGTCGTCTGGTAACAACAACGTGTACAGAATCGGACACAACGGCCGGGTGGACCTCAAGTATGTGGAGGAGGGTGTCGGAGGTTTCTACTATCCAGACCATCTTCCCGTTTTAGGTAGGCATGTAGGCCTAATGTTAATCTTAAACAGTAAGCAGTCATTTGTATAGGCTGTTGCAGGAAATGTAAGCCTAGATCCTTGATAATACAACTCCACCAGTTAAATCGAGTGTTAATTGATTTTTTTGGTATTAATCTGTCTTGTAGATATTTATGATTGGATTGTAATCTTTTACAAAAAGTCTGTTGGAAGGTGAGGAAGCTGGAAAGGCTGTTGGCCACAATTTTAATTAGTAAAATGAAGGGATAGCAGACTAGCTTATCTTAGAAGAAGTACAGGTCCTCTGAGGGACTTAGACACTTGAAAAGACACCTGACAAAGTCCTCCAGGAGAAGACATTTTTTAATGTGTTTGATGAGCTACATGTACTTTTGCTGAAATGAGCTAGCTGCTATCCCTTCATTAGACATGGTTACATTAGGTATTTTACTATTAATACTCAGTTATTCTATGATTATCGAAAGGAAAGTAGTCAAAGATCGAGACAGTTGGTATGATAGTTTTGTAAAGAATGTAGGCCTAGTTGAAGAGTTAGTGATAACAATAAAACATGGGATTTTTAGGTCATCCGGTGGAGGTCTCCACATCTCAAGCTGATAGTGGAGACACTGCCCCCAGACACCTGACGTTCAAAGTGGGCGACAGAGTCAAGGTACTCATGGAGGTGGAAACACTGAAGGTTATGCAGAAGGATCACGGCGGCTGGAACGACCGGATGACTGAGGTAAGTCGTACGACTCTACAGTTTATCAATAGCTCCGTCTTAACAAACATAAATTTAGCAAATTTCTATTTGATACTGTTGTTTTATTTTAACAGGACAGTAGAGGTATTCCGGATAATGTTTTGCTAGATTAGTGGCCAGCATGTCAAACTTCAGTACAAGAAGGACAGGTTTGATTCTCGGCATATCCACAGTGATTTGAGAAATTTGACAGAAAAGAAAAAGCACTTACCGTACTTTAGATTTGAGATCAATATAAATATAAGTTATTGGCTCGATGACCATGTGGATTGTTGTTACAAATAGGTACTCAAAACTGTTATTCTTGCTAAATTAGATTTTATAACTTTACAATGTAGTAAGGAAATTAAACAAAAAATCATGAAGATTTTATTTACATACAACCAATCCAAATCAAACCTAAATATTCAAATTGGTGTTCTTAGAAACTTAGAAATAGGGACTCATAGTATCTCCTAGTCTGTTTGCTTAATAAGTGCTTTGTCATGTATAATCTTAAGTGGTATTTAAAAGAGAAAACCAAACATTGACATTATACTAGAAAAAATGTATTATATATAGAATCTCTACTTTGAAAAAAAAAACTTTTATTACATGGGAATTAAACAGTCTTAGTTTCATTTTTTGTTGTTTTTTGCCTGCTGATCACAATATAAATTAATACTAGAGGTTAAAATACAATAGGCTACCTTGTAATCCGTCAATATGACCATGTTACCGATGAAGGCGACCGGTTTCAACCCATCAAAGGGGTCATCTTTAGGCAAAGAATGGACATAGAATTACTCCGAAGAGGTTGTCAAAAAGTCAATAAATTAGAAACAAAGAATAGTAACACCTAAACACATTTTAACAAAAAATGTGCGTGGCCACAAATCGAATGTGCGGCGGACAGTATGCATACATTGAGTTACAAGTCCCTACCCGACTTTTTGACAACCTCTTCGGAGTAATTCTATGTCCATTCTTCACCTGAAGATGACCCCTTTGATGGGTTGAAACCGGTCGCCTTCATCGCTGACATGATCACATTGACGGATTATTAAGGTATTTTAACCTCTAGTATTGTCTTAATTTATAAATTGCCTAGTAATGAAAACCCTATCATTGAGCCAAACTAAGTTATAATCGGGGTAGGAAGTCTGTTATTTTAAATCGTATAGCTCTATTTTGTTGACAAACAGTTTTTATTTTTATTTTGATAAAGCACCTGCATATAGTGTACCTACCTAAAATGTTTGAATGTTTTTTCTGTCTCTAATTATTTTTTACAACTCTGTATACTCTGTGGAAAGTGAGATATTAATAATCTGAATAACAATGGGAATCACCTTGTTATAGTACATAGGCAAGGTGGGAGTAGTACATCGAGTGACAGACCGAGGTGATATCCGAGTTACTTACGAGGGATGCAACAACCGCTGGACATTCAACCCGTCTGCACTCACCAAGATTGACGCTTACGCTGTCGGTGACCTTGTGAAGGTCATTACAGATCCTGACAAGGTCAAGGACTATCAGAAAGGTCACGGAGAGTGGATAGAAGTCATGAGAAGTGTGAGTTATGGATAAAATATTTTGTTGGTTGAAACATATGATAGATTTACTTCAAGAATGTGTCTAGGGCTTCCAAACATCCCAGATCCTGGGGGAGCGAGGTGGTCTAGTGGTTAGAGCGCGGGTTCAAATCCCGCCAAGTCACCACCAATGGATTTTATCTAAGTGATAATGCCGCAACCCCTAGGTCTAGTTTGAAGTAAAGTGAAAAAAAAATTTCGGGCTCGAGCCTAGTGTCTTAGGAGACAAAAAATCCCAGATCCTGAAAATCTTGGGTTTTAGAGGTCACTAAAAGCCTAATAATTTTCTTATTTATCCCCAACTGTTATATTTTATCTGAAAGTTTTCATATTTTACCAATGAAGTAATACATTTCATTGGCTAAATCAGGACTTATTTTAATGCTGACACAACAACATTGTGTGTTGTCATAAATTGTAAATATTTTTTTATATTTTTCATAGGTAGACGTCACATTTCCCACTGTAGCATAAATGATGCATAGTTTATTTATATTTTACACATGAACTCTTGAAAATTACTCTGAAAGGTCCTCAAAACCCCCTAAGAACCACCCAATTTTTGTATGGCAGGTACAGCCTACAGTTTGAATACCCTGTTGATTATACATAGACATAAACATATCAAACAGATACACATTTTAAGTTAAAATAACTTTAAGCTAAACTAGTCTCGGTACTAATATATAGGCATGCAGTAAAATGAACAAAAACATAGCACTGACATTTTGATTTGATTTTGTAATAATAGAACTTCTTCAGTGAGTAAGATTAAGAAAATAAGATCTTAAGTTATTCATATTTTACAACGGATTTACAATTTTTAATAAATTGAATTTTTCTTTACTACTATATTATGCATCAATGAGGTACCTATTTTGTCTCATAAGTTAACTGTACTAATTGATCTGCAAGACAAGTTTTACATTAACTACAATTTAAATTAGATAAATGTTATATCCTTGTGTGTCATTATCAGTAAACTGTCTGAGTCTTATATTTACAATACCCTTACAGCATGCGCTTTGTTGACAAACAGGGTTTTTATCAGTTCACCTTTGTTTTCAAGGCCTTTGTAACATAGGTGTTGTGAATTAGTCATCAAAATTGTTTGTTTTACATCTTATCATACATTTTTTATGGCAACATTTTTGTACCAGTGTGAATTAAATCATTTGTTTTACTTATAATAAACTTAAAAATAACTTGTCTGATCTAATTGTAATGATCTATGAATAAGAAAAGATTTAAAAACTATTTATGGGAATTTCAGGTTTTTTTACATTCGGAGGAAAACAAGTGTGATACCGGTATTTATTTTTACTAGTGCACCTGTTGCTCGAATTCGAGCAATTGCGAAGCATTACAGGCGACTCAAAGATTATGGAAATACTCACGATCTATACAACAGTTAGATATAATCAAAACCTTATCTTGTAAATATCTTATCTTTTTTCAAAAAGCTGATCTTGTTTTTTTAGCGTTTTCTACAAATTGTTCCCTCTCATAGCCGCATTAGGTTGTCTATAATAACGATTATAAATGAAAAAAAAAAACTTTATTTCTATTTCTTCTACTTGGTTGTGTTCTATGACTTTTTCTGTGTTTCCATTGTTTGCAAATCGGTTATTTCAATGATTGCTCAAGAAATGTAGCACAGTGTTAATTCAGTTTTATTTTTAGCCTATATCAAATTGTCCAGGATATCTCACTCTTTTCCATTGTAATAATTACATCAACCCAAGTTTCGTCTACAGATGCAATATGCCAGAGAATATCACCTATTGGATACAGACATTAATCTCCAAGAAGTGGTAAAAAAGGCAGAATCCAACCCATACAATAGATATAAGTGAACTCCATAAGAAATAATTTTAAGAGTTACTGTGATATTAGGATTTTCCACGATTTGGTAATAGAACATTATATTGCAAAACATGACACGATGCAGAAGAAAATCAATTTTAAAATCAGAAAACCCCATTGCAAATACTGTACTACTTCATATTGACAAATTCAATAAATCACAATTTAAATATAACAGCTGTTTCATTAAAAAGTAGTGTAGAACTATGCATACGGTCGTAATGTAAACAAATCTAAAGAGGCAACTTTAAAGGCTTCTGGGGCAGAACCCCAAGGTAATTTACCTCGTTCCTCTTTTGATGGCTCATCTACAGACCAAGACCTTTCTTTAGAGACCCCTACCAAGTTTCTACGCCCAGCCGTTCTCTCAAATTAGCTGTGACAAAAACCCCGTTTTTCTCCATAAGAATAACATGGGATGGGAATTTAAAGGCCACTGGGGCAGATCCCCAAGGGAATTCACCATGCTTCTCTTTTGATGGCTCATCTACAGACCAAGACCTTTCTTTAGACACCTCTACCGAGTTTCTACGCCCAGCCGTTCTCTCAAATTAGCTGTGACAAAGAAAAACAGTTTCAAATTAATATATAGATTTGAACAAAAGAACTGGTCACATGTTGAAGGAATTTCAAAAAAGTAAAAACGCTAGTAAAGCTAGTGACGTAATTAATTGTCTATGTTTTTATCCATTTCGTTATCAGTTCCAATATCCTTGATAATTAAACCAACCTCATTGAATCAATGTACATCGTAATTCCCCATGTTCATTTATTTAAACTATAAAATATTCAGCTCCTCCAAACGTAACCACAACTAAACACAAGCCAAACAACTTATTTAGATTTCATAAAAGGATGGTTAGTCTAATTTCAGTATCCTAGGTCAATGATGACGTTGTGTTCAATCTGTGTCATTCATCTGTATATCTTTGGATAACACCCGTCTGAGGTTGTGGTGGTAATTTAAAATCGTATTCCTGAGGATTCTTGATCTCCATCTTTATGACATCAATATTTCCGGGCCTAATCCAAACAAAGTTCAAGCATTCAAAAACATTAATTGTAAACAAAAAGCTGCCAAGATGAATTAAAACATGTAAAATTTGTGATTTTCCTACCCTTTCCAAAAAAGTTGAGCAGTAAAATAATTTGCATATCTTTTTTATTTAACTCGTGTACAGAGCCTCTACTTGTACACATCGATGGTGTTACTTATCTCGGTGGTCTACTAATCTTACTTATTTCCTATAATCAATGACAAAATCAGAGTAAATAACCTCATAGTTCTATAGGGCATTTTTATAACTAACCAGCTGTTAGTCAAAACAAATTACATTGCACTAAAACAAATCAAAGATTACAATGATTGCTTTCAAAAATAATTTGAGCATCCTAATATTTTACTATGTAAATTAAATTAATCTGTCATCCTCTTACAGAAGAATTGAACGTATCAATGATTAGCATTACACATAGTATAAATAAGTCAACCCTAAGTATGTTTTTACATTTTTATCCAAATGCTGAATTTGTGACACAAAAGCTGAATGTTTACAGCTGTTATGTTAAGCAAATTATTTTATGCCAAAAGCTAGTTAGAATCTTAGCGTCGGCTGCTAGACTTTTTTAAAATTAAAACTTAATTTCTAATAAACTGGGACCCTAAACTAAAATTATGGCTTCGACATTCCCTAGTTCTCAAAATTATCTTTCTTTCAACACAAAAATCATGAAAATCCGTCGAGTGGTTGATTCAGAATCGTGAAATAAAAAAACACTGTTTCGTTTTAATATTATAGATAGTTCAAGAGTTCCGGTTTTCAAACGAGTAATGAAAAACTCTGTAAAGTTTTAGTAAAGTTTATACATTTTAGTAAAGTTGATTGATAAGTGGAATTATCGAAAATCATTAGTTAGCATTAACATAAATTTTTAAATAAAAATCTTTAAATTTATACCGTTTAGTGGATGAAATTACATCTACTGTACATGAAGCAGTAAATATGAAAATTTGAAATTTTTTTGTGATTTTCTGTAAATTAAAGCAACCCTTTCTGCAAATCTTGATTGTGTTAGGCTAGGAATTATCATCTCAGACAGTGCAAGAGTTACTGGTTTAATCCTTGACCTATCCACACAAATTTGAGTTTTCAATCTGCTTATCCATAAAAGTGTTAAACGTTCTTAATTGTAAATTACCACAGGCAACTAATCTCAATTACTCACTAAAAATTAAAACTATTAATTGGAGTTAATATTGTTACAATACTGGTTCCAGGCTCTAGGTAAGGTTGGTACTGTGATTAAGATATATTCTGATGGTGATCTGAGAGTAAGCGTGAACGACCACACGTGGACATTGAACCCTCTCTGCGTAGAACAGATAGCCGAGGACAATCCTGCACCTTCTGTCAATCTAACTGACAGCCTCCCTGCATGTGAGTGGATAAATAATTAGTAGATGGAATAGTTTGGATGGATTTCGAAATATATACTTAACCTTTACTGACCTTGGTAGCTCAGTTAGTCTTAGAAGCCAGATATTAGTAGTGGGCGTGACCATGGCGTGATGAACATTTTTTTCATTTGCTTGTACATACAAGTCTCAGGCCTATGTGTGAAGCGTATTTGGCAAAGAAAGGGGTGAGCTGGTACAGAACAACAGAACAAGAGGCGAACTAAATTGATAAAATTTTGTGGCGCATGCACAACATCGAGGCTGTGGAATCATAGTCCGTGGGGCTATTGACTCACCTTTAAGTTAATAGTGTAGTTTTGATTGATTTTGAAATGAACCTTTGCCAAACATGGCACCTCAGTGATAACGTTTTGACCTAAAAAGCCAAACATATTAGTGTTCCTACCAGTTTACTGTACTATTTAAATACTAGAGATGGTTAAATAATATGGGAAATTTTGAATCTCATAATCAAAAGCAAAACTTAATTTCAAAACTCATGTGATGAGGTCCAATAGTTATAACTGTTAAAAACTGTTGGAAAGTACCAGTCAAAATAACCATAGAGTAATATCTAACCTTTTACTGTTTGTTAATTATTACTGGCTAATTGATGTCTAATCTGTAATTGTTTTAACAGTAGTAGTTGTATGGTCACTTGTATGGTCAGTCTTGGCTGTCCTGCTCCGGTTGTTAGCCACTCAGCCTACATTTTGTGATCCATTTATTTATTTTAGTTTCAAAGTTGCTCACTAGGTATTACCACTCAGCATATAGGAAAACAAACATTTTGTAGACAAAACGTGTTCTTTGACACTGGATCTGTTGGCCAAATCATCTGATTGTTGTTATGTTAGGCAGTAAGTTTAATCATCCAGGCAGTGATGGGGACAGTAAAGTTAACCACTCAACTGATAAAGACAAAAATAGTCTTTCAGATCTCTCAACTTTTTAAAGGAAAGAGCACTTAGCTTAGAAATTCATTGAGGAAGAAACAATTTCACTAAATTTCATTCATGTAGATTGATTATATTGTTTTCTGTTGTAAATATAAAATTTAAATGTCAATTGCCTAGAAATATTTTTTTTCAGGGTAACTCAATTATTGTATATCAATTTCTTCTTCCTCAATGTTAAAGATAGTAAGAGTTTGTGGTATTTTTACAGGTGACCAGGATGCCAGTCTTGCCAACATGGTAGAAACTCAGCTGGAAATTTCCAATGTAGACAGACTGGTGAGGGAAGCAGCTCAGGGCCATATAGATGCGATACGAACGTTCATCACCGAACATCCGGACCAGGTAAGCCAACTGTAAAATGTGTTCAAATGAAAATTTATATGTATCGTTGAAAAAACGTAGTACATTGGATTTTTTGAGGTCACTCGATTCTCTCTCAAATTACACATGCTAATTAGTTTTTGTATGCCTTTCCATGATGGAGTTTACACAATGCATGGAAAGATTTTGTCTAAAAGGCCTAGCCTGAACCTTAAAGGGTCAGTCAAGAAATGTACAGTCCCAGCAAAAACATACTTGGTCCACAAAAACAGCTGAGAGACAATCATTGTTCAATTATGCGCTCAAATAAATAAAAAGAAAGCTACCAAAATTTATATTTACATTAATTATATCTATGTATATTTATTGAAACTGAATAATGCAATCCAAAGATCTTACTAAAGAAAGCTGACTTAACTGAACTACTGTAATTTATTTAAAAAAAACCTCGTAAAACATTCTAATATAACATCCCTTTATCAGATTGACGCCCAAAGTCATGGCAAGACGTTCCTATTGGTCGCTAGTCATCAGGGCCATATGGAGTTGGTCTGTTACCTGCTCAACAACAACGCCTCTATACAGCTGACAGACGACGAGGGAGACACTGCGCTTCACTACGCTGCCTTCGGGTGAGTATACAATATTTAAGATTGTAGTGTTTGAGGAAATTATTTGCTAAAGATGTAAAAGTGGAAATTATCATTGTGGTTTTGAAATTTTGTAGATATTTTATTTTTGACTTTTTTCGTTTATGTTACTTTTTTCACTTTGCAACATCTGTTGAGTAGAGAGTTGAATAATAAATTTTGTGTTATACCACATTTTCAACGATATCAGTGGTTCCAGAAACAATTAAGTAGTAATAGGGGGTGTGTGTGTGTGTAATAGCTCCTAACAATATTGCTTCTGTTACCTGTTTCTGTGACCACAAATCATAAATGGTTCTTGGCTTTTCCCACGCTTAACTAGCCTCCTTCGCTCTCTGTCCTTTCCCAGTTCTAGATTGCTGTTTCAAAAATTAAGAGCGTTGTATTGCTTTTTTTTCAATACCGGTAATGCAAATAATACAATTGGTAAAAACTCTTGTGTTTAAACGAAAGCAGTTGGATTTTTGTGTTAAAAAATCTACTCCTTTAAACTGTGATATTGGCTTACATGAATTTTCAATATCTTGTCAGAATAACAAGATAACAACAACAAGTATAACAAGATATTGTTGTTGTTGTAATATTAACAAACATGGGGTAACATGTTTTGCTGAATAGCATTTTAAATACCTCAGCCCATAAAATGCATTAAATTTGCTTCAGTAGCTTTGTTGAACAAATCTAAATTGTCGGCTAGAATTTTCACAAGTTAAACAAGGTAGTCATCTCTTGAACACCGACATTCGCCTACTTTGACCACAAAACCATAGTTCATGTTCATTTTCTCTCTATCTAAAGCTAAGAAAGTACAGTAATATAGTTTCTCCACCGCAGCAACCAGTCGAGTATCATGGAGGTGCTGCTGGAGAGAGGCGCAGACGTGAACGCAGTCAACAAGAGCCATTGTTCTCCCCTCCACGTAGCCGCCAACAAACAGTTCATACACTGCGTCCGGGTATTGCTGAAACACAAGGCTAATGTCAACGTACAGGTAACTAGAGTTGTGCCCGACTTTTCAAGTTGATGAGATGTTTCTAAACTAAAAAAGCTTCAAGGTGGAAATAGGCTTTGTATTGTTAAAATTGTAAATTAAAATTCATTGAAATGACCGTAATAAAGTTACAACTGATGGAGTTGTTGACAAAAGTAAAACCTATTTTAATTTTTAGTGATATAAGTTAGTCAGAAAATTTTAATTTTATTTACGTCTGCTTCAGACAAGTAATCCTGTGAAAATGTCACCATCAAAAACAGTTTTTTTAACCAAGCTTTTGAAATGTGAATTGCTCTTTCACCCATTTCAAGTCATTGATACTTCTCCAATTTGTCAATGCTTAGGGAACGAGTTGGCATCAGTCTACAAAATAACGGCAGCACCTACACAACAATTACATAGAACTAATTAACCTACTAACTAAATTACTGGAAAAAACAAAAGTCTCATCAGAGAGCAAAACAAAATTAACTTACTATTTAAAAAATACAGTTTACTTACTGCCATATCTTAGTAGATATTTGGCCGCACCAACAAAGCTCCTCCACCTTTTTTAAACTCCTCCGTCTTCCTCAGTTGCTCATATTCCCCAATATCTACCACCATTTCGCTCCACCACTTTTGCCGTGGCCTCTCAGTTGTCTTTTCAAGGTTTCTTATTTTTAGAATGAAAAAGTCAAAGAAAATAAAAATTATTAAATGTTAGAACAACCCTTGAGAAGAAGTCAACTGTAATGGTATGTCTAATTTTAACATCATGTGAAGTGTCAAAAAATAGTGGTTCTTAATGTACAAACAACATAATTACTATGCAGTAGGAGTATATTCTCAATGTATCTGCTCCGGTGTTCAGTCATATAACCTTGAAATACCTTAATTTCATAATACTCCATTGTTCAAGGAACAGATAATATAGAAGGTTGGATAATTTTACAAGCTATAGAAAGTGGTAACTGTTTGCAGGATTCTTACGGAGACACAGCCTTGCATGATGCCATTGGAAAGGAGTCCCAGGACATCGTGGAAATGCTGTGCAGTGTTCACGGCATCGACTTCACCGTCCGCAACAAACGCGGCTTCAACATCCTACATCACGCGGCACTCAAGGGCAATAGCTTGTTAGTAGGTGTTTATAACCTTGATGTAAACATCAGGACTAGGAAGGGGGAAATGTTCCTGGCTAATGAAACAGCTGGTCTTAACCAGTAACAATGCTAATGGAACTTCGCTATCAGGCAAATGGGAGTTCACTTTGTATGCAGGATTGGTGCAGCATTGGGGGTATTTTATTCTAACGCCTTGAAATTACTTAGCCTTTGTTGATCAATTCATGTTTTTGTATGATCAATTATCCTTCCTTATTATAGGAACAAACTGAACTGTTAAAAGTTGTGCCATCTTCAAACAATTCGCGTTGAAAACACTGTTTTTGTATTGTTTTGAGCATAAAAGGGACCCCATAAAACTTTGTTTTCATATTCCGATCATGCTAGTTCGTGAACTCCTTCTATAAAAATATTTATTTCATATTATATTCATCTCGGTGGCTTAGCCAAAGGGCATTGTAATAGTTCTTTTACTCTGCATTTTGTTAAACTCAAATATCCATGTAAGAGTGATAATTTATTCAATAAGTTATCAACACCAATTAAAATGTACGTAATAGGTATTTTCAATTTTTAAGCCTTTATTTTTTAACTGCTTTGAACCTCTTTAATCATGAACGTGTATTTTCTGCAGTGCAACTGAAAAGATCTTGGCTAAAGCGCGCCACCTGGTGAATGTTAAGAAAGATGATGGGTTTGCGGCTTTACACCTGGCTTGTCTCAACGGTCACCGAGCAGTGGTGGAGACACTAGCGCTGCAGGGTGGTGCAGACACCAACCTTCCCAACATCAAGAAACAAACACCTTTACTGTTGGCAGTGTCACAGGTTAGTGAGAGTACAAAGTACACACATTTACTTTGATATACAGGGAGAAAAACTGTACCGGGACAGTTATGTATAAAAAAATAAAATAAAAATGGAGCTTCAAATCTTGGTACAAATTTACTGGGCATTAAAATAATTTTAACACATTACTCAGTGTGATACGCTACCTCCTCAGGGGGACGGCTCGCTAAGAGTCAGAAGAAAATCTTAAATGTAAGCATAGGATGATACGCAGATCAAATTAAAGGCCTTTACTAATACAATACCCCAAATTTGAACTCAAACGAACAACCGAGTTAACATTTTCTGTCTCGTGTTGTCGCAGGGTCACTGTTCTGTGGTGGAGATGCTGGTTGGTCAACTCAAGGTCGATCTGAACGCTGTGGATGAGGAGGAAGACACAGCGTTGCACGTGGTGCTGCACAAACGCACATCTATCCACACGGAGATCAATGAAAATGAGGCGCCTTCCATCTACGGGGTGAGTGCTTGCAAACTTTGTATCCCCCAAAGTTTTGATAATCTTAAGAACTTTTGTTTTCATCCCAGAGAATAGATTTTTTACTTTATTCAAGGCATTGGTATTTTTTACCTTATTTGTAAGGAACCAATCCAAAAACTGGTCTTTGAATGTCTTCAGATTTGAAGTCGAACACCTTAACTACAGTACTTTGCAACCCGGACAATTGTTCTTCAAAATATTCTCAAAACATCACTAACTGCAACCAAACTCACTTGTATCTTTTACATTGACGAAGAAAAGAATTCCTTGCAGTTTAAATCACATTGTTCGCAACACAATGCTTTTTGTGTGTTTTCAACTGGCTGGAAATCTTAACTTGGGTTAGTCAGTTATTTATCCATTCCTTCACCACTAATGTATTCCTAAGCCAAATACTTTTTCCTCCAAAAAAGTAACCGTAAATAATCTATGTGTTTTGTCAGATATGGGCGGAGTTGATGAGTCAGTGCGACTTCCCTGTGGCTGTAGCTATTGCCTGCTACCTGGTACAAGAGGGCTGTTCCGTAGAGAAGACCAACAGTAAGAAGCAGATAGCGTTGGACCTGGTGTGTCCTGCTGTCCAGGAAATCATCAGACAGTATATTCCCTCCAAAATGTGAGTAGGACATCATCAAAATGTATATTCTCATTCAAAATGTAAGAAATGCATTCTTGTTATATCATCAGATAGTTATCCGTTATCCCCTTTAAATGTAAGTAGGACATCATCATCACAGTGAATCTCCTCTCTGGTATCAGTGATCACTGATTTTTTATAGTTTTGAATCCCATTTGTATTTGGATTGTCGCACTAGTTGAGATTTGATTAACTCCCTTGTGACATTATCGGACAGTATAATCCATGAAAAATATAAGTAGGACATCATCATATAGTGTCTCCCCTCCGAAATGTAAGAAGGACATTATTAAACAGATTTTACCGTGACTGCAGCAGATAATGTTCACAATTTTTGCATGACCACAAAAGATGTTCAAGTTTTTGCTGAGAAGACAGTTAAAATATTCACAATTTCGACGTGACCACAGAAAATGTTCTAAATTTTACCGTTACTGCAGCAAGACGTTCACAGGTTTTCCCTGACTGCAGATGATGTTCTTGATTTGGCCGTGACCACAGAACATGTTAAAGATTTTTCCATTAGGAGGAAGGTGTTCACAATTCCTCAGTGACAGAGGAAGATGTTCTTGATTTTACAGTGACAGCGGAAAACGTTCACAATTTATTGAGTGTATCTGACCATGTATTCTGTGACAGCCCTCTACAGGAGTCGGAGGGGGTGGCAGAGGAAGTGGAGGAGGAAGACCAGTGCCGTTCGACCCCAGTAGAGTGCTCTGTGTGTTCAGTACTAGCAGACAACAACGTACTGCTGGAGCCGTGTGGTCACCGTGTAGCATGTGAAGAGTGTAGCGCTCGCATGAAGAAGTGCATTCAGTGCGGCTCACAGATCAACAGAAGACTGACTCAGGGTAAGTTGAACATAGTGTTGCAAGGTTTATTGTGGTTTGGACGTGGTAATGTTGTAGTTAAAAAATTGTTGTCAAATAAATTTTTTTAAATGTTTTTTTAGTAACAATAAGAGGCTATTTGTTAAAAGTTAATTTTTGGTGTTGGGAAGTTTATGTTATTTGAGAAGAATTATGGCAGACATATTCCATCATTATTAAAACACAAGTTTTGATGACGTAAAAGGATTTGATTTTTGATCCTGTCCGCAGTTGAGAAAGTATCTAAAACATTATAAAACTAGTAAACAAACAGGAGGAGGGTATCAGATTCCAGGTCCTGAAAGTAATGAATACTTGTTCTTATTAAACTAATTATTATGGAAATGGTCACTATTTTAAACTGACTTTCTAAAAATATTTTCATATTAAAAACAATTTGGTTTAGAAGAGTATGGAATACTTAACCCAAAATTAGAATACAGTATCAAAAATCCTCCTAGATCAATAATTAGTAATAGTAGCCTATTCTTGATATGACGTTTATTGAACTGTCACTACAAACATCGTATAACTTTTTGACACGTCATCTTATTGTTGCTTTAGATGGAAGGATTATTGCATGCAAGAACCATCAGCCTAGCGCCGAGCGACTGCGCTACCTGGAGAGCAAGATAGCGGAGATCGAGGAGGCGCATTGCTGTTCAATTTGCATGGAGAGACGGCGCAACGTCGCGTTCCTGTGCGGCCACGGCGCCTGCGACAAGTGTTCACTGACCTTGCGCACCTGTCACATGTGTCGCAAGACCATCACCAAGAAAATAAACCTCTACTGATAGTGATATGTGAGTAGTGATGGTAAATAAGTCTTAGGTTAAAAGAATGAGGCTGAAACCCCTAAATTCAGGGTGTCTTCCAGTCATTGTTGTCACTGGTTTTTAGTGTGTAGCAGAAGTAATTCTTATATAAGAGAATTGGTAGACACCCTGTAATGTTTAGGCAAAACATTTTCTAGTGCGTTATTAATTAGGAAAATTCAAGAACATGGTTCATTACTTAAGAGGGTTCCCTACCCCCATTGAAAAACGTCAGAAAACCGCTTCGCGCGGTATCATATAGCGATTCTAGTTTTAACATTTAAATTGTGAACCAAACACCATTTTGTACATAAAGAGTGGTTCTACTAAGTTTGCTTTTTAAAAAATGTCTATGCTTACGCAATCAAGAGCAACGACTTGTCAAAGTTAGTGAACTTTACAGTTAAAGTTCAGTAACTTTAACAAGTCGTTGCCCTTGATTGCGTAAGCATAGACATTTTTTAAAAAGCAAACTTAGTAGAACCACTCTTTATGTACAAAATGGTGTTTGGTTCACAATTTAAATGTTAAAACTAGAATCGCTATATGATACCGCGCGAAGCGGTTTTCTGACGTTTTTCAATGGGGGTAGGGAACCCTCTTAAACAAGCAATGTAACTTTTAATTAAAATTTTAAATTGAATTGAGTTTAAATTTTAAGATACATGCTAACATAGCCAACCTAACATGAGAATGACGTTACTTTTGATAACCCTCCATACATTTTACTTTGATAGGATGAATAGCTTTGGGTGTGTGGCTATGATGTTCTTTCACCATCCCTACAGAAATTCTTGATTTTCGGTGACAGTTGATATGAAAGAAAATTATTGTTTCCCAAACTTTAGTTTAAAGAAAGGGCTGATTTCACCTTTTGCTCACCATCGCTTACCTTTTTTTTCATAATTTTAGCTCAGTGCATGTTTACTGCAGTGCACAATATATATAAAAAAAAGTTAACAGAGAAATAATAAAGCTAATATTATAATAGCTTAAATTTAACTGAGGTCTGTTACTAAGTATGTATTTAATTTCGGAGTCATGATGAAAAGTATCATTTCGTTAGTTAGGAACTTGTACCAAAAGTGATCTTCCGGCATTTGCTTCATGAAACTCATCGACTTTGCCTCGTTCATGAAACTTGAGCATGCAACGGAAAAGGTCACTAGTATTGAAATATACTATTCCATTTTCCTTCTTTACCCCCATATCAAGTCTACATAATACAGTAAAACCTCGATAACAAGACTCTCATTGGGTTTATTAAATGTGAATTTTTGTCAAATTGGACTTCTTAGTTCTTATCGAGGTATACAATAACATGTTTTTTTCTTTTGGGTAAAACAAATTAAGAGGGATCTGAAAATGACACTAGTTATCAAGGGTGATTTGTTATCGAGTCTTCTTATCGAGGTTCCACTCTAGATTGATGGATAATTAACTGTATTCAATTTGTTGCAGCCATGTGTTCCTACATCACGATGTTCGTTCCTTCCAGACTTAATCTTGTGATTTGAGATTATTGTGTACATCTGTAAATAGTACTTGTATTAAACTAATCGAGCCAAAAATGTATTTTAATATGAAATAACGGAGACGCGAGATCGTTGAGTATAACAGTTTTATTTTTGTCTTATTTATTTCTAGGGATTTGATTTAATTGTAAATAGTATAAACGACAACAGCTCAGTTTTATTTTTTTAGTATGTTTATGAAACATTTAGGCTACAATAGTGGGATTATGTTAGTGATAAATTTAGTTTCGAAACTAGTAATTTTGTGAAGTTTAAACTATTTCACTATTTTGCCAGTTTAGATGCTTGTGTTGCATTGTATATTTAGACAAATACTTACATTTTGCTTGTTAATAGTAACTGATTGTTTCACGTGTTATACACTCTATGGTTACCTCGATGGTTCCAGCAAAGAGTGAAATATTAGGCAATTGTCTAGTTAAATCAGTAGCAAATATTTGTCTTGGGCTAAATAATTGACAAATACATAGTATAAAAAATTAGATTTTTTTATGTTATTTGATTTTATCACAAATCACAATATTATAAACCTTTGAGCCTAGTAGAACCATCTCAATGGCATTGTATGACTTTATAAAAATGATTATTTCGCTCATTGATTTTATGTAATGGTGCTTAAATCTGTTTCCTACTTTTGGTCAACAAAATCTTTGTCATAACTATTTTTATATGCATATTTATATTTAGACATTTTGGACATTATGTTTACTTTTACTATATCATAGCTTGTATTCATTAGTTCAATTTGCAAATATGCATGGTTGACTGTATTTTTTCTTGCCGTATTTAGTATTTTAAGATATAGTGTATATTTATTATATAAATTGAATTCCCGTATGTATTGCGTAATAATGATTTGAAATTCACCGAAGAATAAAAGATTTATGTTATTTACCAAGGTTATCAAAGGTTGTAAGTAAAAAATAATTTATAGGAAGAGTAATATAATATAATTATATTTTTTTTTACTCAGTTGTATACAATTATTTTACTTTAAGAATCCCTTGGATTGCTTTATAAAAGCTCCACCCTAAAATTAAGGAATTGAATGGCAAGCGAATGCAATAGGTTTGAATATGTTTATATTTATTAAGGTCAACAACTGATAAAACTATCTTAGGGTAAGAAAAGTGATTATAAATAGAATTAAATAACAATTTGTATAAATTAACAAACTAACACTAACGTGCAGGTACTTCAGTTTCACTTGCAAAGATTCAGACATTTATCTTAACCCTGTAAAAAAATATAAAGCGTGAAATTTATGTCACATTGACTGGTTTGATACAACTTCAGTGCTTGAAAATGGTCGTAGATAAATCCAAAATGTCTACTGAAGTTTCTAGGCCCAAGGCTTTTAATACCGTCCTCTTTATAACTCTTCGTCATTGTCTTCTTCTCAGAAACCCTCAGCACCACTCGCAGACACATCCAGGTCTGGGATGGGCTTAGAGGGGATAGAAGACAGCTTAATCTCGCAGGTGGATACTAAGCTGTGCCTCAGTAGGTACTCTTTGGCTTTCCTCCAAACGCGTACAAGGGAAGCACATTCTTATCCACAGCTCTGTAGATTCTACTGGTGAGATGTCCGCACAGTGGACCTTCCACTGTGGCCAACACTGCCAACTTGATCTTCCTTTTGTCCATCGGCTGCAGACTTTATTTGATCTCTGACTGCAGAGTTTCTTCATCACTTACAATCTTAAAACACTTGGCGTTGTCAGTGACAGTCAGTCACAGCTTCTCACGGTGACGGCCCATGTTCTTGATGCAAAGTGTTTTGAACACCCCACACCAGCTGTTTGTGGCTACCTTCAGTTCCCCAACTGGATTAGGAAGGCTGCTGCTGTTACCACGGGAGGTTGGAGAAGTGGCTCTAGAAATGTGGGGAGTTGCCAGAATGTTATTTGATTAGTGAGAGGTGCACCGATCTTCTTGTAGCTAAGTTTGACTGCTTGTGCGGAGGGAAGACAGCTTGTAGAGTAAGTTCTCCACATCTGAGTGGGTTTCTCATTTCCGCCGTGTCAGCATGTATAACAATAGTCTGGTTAGACTGGACGGTGGAAGTTGGAAGGATGCACTTTGTAACCAAATGCAGCAGTTGTTCTGAGCACCACTAGCTCATTACCTCTGTTGTACAGAGAAAAGTCAGAGGGTTCCACCTTGGTGACTGGAGCTCCATAAAAGAAGGGCTTGAGAGTTGCAACCAAAGTCACAGGTGCAACAGGTTTCAGTGACCAGAAGAAACCTTACTATCCCCTCAACAAGAATGATTGTATCTGGAGATCCAAGATGATGATAGGGCAATGATAGGAGGTGTCTCACTCAGCACAAGTTTTCTGACTATCTGTCCTGGATCCACTATCTATGTCATTGTCTGCTTCTATCTCCTTCCAAAATTGAGCAAAACGTCCTCATGAGTCACCTTAGTAACCGTTAATCTTCAAGGGTACTGTGATGCGGCCCTCATTCTTCATCATGATGGTATGTTGATATTTACCATCATGTTGACATTCAGGGATTGGTATTATTTCACCTTTATGTTGGGTCAACACTCAACAAAGACACCTTTGGTATCTCATCTACAATTTCCCCAAATATGTTTCTGCATTCTGTTGCTTGAGTCAGTGGATTTTTTTGTTACTTCAATTTTCATTTTTATCACACCTCCGATTAAAGCTGCTACATTTATAGTTAGAATCCGTCTTTGGCCAGGGTTGAGGATCAGTTCAGGAATAGAAAAATGAACATGATTTGCCGAATCCTTCCTATGGTCATCCACGTAACATGCCTTGCTTAAACTATACTCCGCCGGGTAAGAGAGTTCATTGAAGACGTCAAAGTCCATTGACTACGGAGTCATCACATACACAGGCATCTTCAAAATCAGTAATGTTGCAGACATGTCACCAGATTCATTCATTGTGTCAAAGTTGGAGTATTGAGTATTGTCTCTTGTTGAAGATCTAAGGTTCAACTCCTTGGCAGAAGCTATTATCCCCTTCAACCATTGATGAAATTCTGTTTGGTTTTAAGGACTCATTAGGTTTGCTCTGGGCCTTAGTCTGCGAATCCATAAGCTGATCAAGCACCTCCTTATGATTGGCTCCATTTTGTAACTTCTCCAGCAACTCCTTGATGTATGACAGTGACAGGCTGGGCACAGAAGTGTCTGCCTCGTCTCCGTGTATGTTGGAGTATTGCTCTACTGGAGAGTGTGGCAGCGCATAGGTATATAAGTTTGCAAAAAATTAACTAGTCTATTCTTCACCAATATCTCAAAGCAATAATAAAATACACATTTTTGTATGAATAAACTGATTAAACATAACAGATGCATGTTGAAGAAGGAATTGGTCATTTGACATTTCCCAATGAAATATTATATTAGTTAAAAGCGGCATCATATAATTAAGCTGGCATTCTGCTTCGTGTTTTTGTTTTCAATCTATATTCACCTCAGTGCAGAGAAAATTAAATATAGCTTTTCCTTGCTTTTAAGTACCTGATAACTGATTTCTTGCTTGGGGAATGGACAGCAATTTTCCACACATGATGAGAAAACTGCAGTCTAAATCAAAGTAAAGCAATACACAACACTGTTAATACTATTAATAACAACTGATTACCAAAATGTTAATCTTAATAAATTAAATGAGTGGTTTTTGTTCTAGTTGAAATTGCATGTTAATTGTATGTTATGGACAATTTCTACTGGGTAGTGAACAATGTTGTATTTATTTATACCATATACATATATATAATATTGATATACTGTAATATTTTAAGGTTGTAAACCTAAATAGTCCCATCTTTTAAGAATTGTGATATTAAAACATTGAAATTTGTATTGGCCTCTTTTTGGAATCCTTGTACAAAGTTATTTTAGTTGTATAGTCCAGTAAATAGAGACAAAAATAGGGGGGTTAACTTACAAACGGTCCGGTAAGTCTAAATTTTTTATATGTTGTCTAGGATGGTAAGTAGGTGTTAAAACCGCAAAATGCACAATTCTACCCCCTCCGCGCCCGCCGCCATATTGAAAAAACGATAAAATCTGTACTTTCTAGAGATTTTCACCTATATCTCCGTTTTGGTGCGTTTTAGCAAAATATATGTAATGTAAATGTTGTAGACAATTAAATTTCCTATAATATAAGTATAACAATTTGGTTCTAAGACTTATGGTTACGAAAATATTTAAATTTTTATACAATAAAACATTATTTTTTTTTTTATTTTGACAAATCTCTATTAGTCCGAGCAAACTAAAAAAAAACTGACACAGGGAACGTTAAAAAAAATGTCAAGAAAACGTTTTATGGTTTTATTTTGTAGTGTTGGGTCTGCAGAGTGACATACTAAAAGTTGCCAAAAATCGGTCTACCGAAAACCCCCTAAAATCACGATAAAAAATGGCAGCTTTTCTCAACATTGGACAAATTAAAAAAAAATACACCACATGCATATTTTATTCAAAATTTTGTGAGATATTGACTTGGGACGACCACCGAAGTTTATTGGGTGGTTAGTACTTCATTTACATGGGGAACTCATTTTTGGCCGCCATCTTGGATCCACCATATTGGATATAAATAAAGAAAATTAAATGTAATGATAACGTTGTGACACATCATTATAAACCAGATTTTCACGCTGATTTCAATGCCGAAATCCGTTTTTAAATATCTGTTTACGTTTTGAAGATATATTCAAACGAAAACTCTCCCCCATACATTTCTTATGGACTTTTCGTACTTGGAATGTTTTTAAATACCATTTTTCTTATATCTCCAGTTCTTATCAACGCTTGCAGTTCAGTATAGCCTTTAAATATTCTGTGATGTAAGCGCTTTCACCTATTAATCGTTCAAATCGAACGAGTTAGCAACGAGCTACAAACCTAAAACAATATGAAATGTAACTTTTTTTAATCTTTGTTATTGTTTTGGGGATTGTAGCTCTTCGCTAACTCGTTCGATTTCAATGATTAATAGGTGAAAGCGCTTACATCACAGAATATTTAAAGGCTATACTGAACTGCAAGCGTTGATAAGAACTGGAGATATAAGAAAAATGGTATTTAAAAACATTCCAAGTACGAAAAGTCCATACGAAATTTATGGGGGAGAGTTTCGTTTGATTATATCTTCAAAACGTAAACAGATATTTAAAAACGGATTTCGGCATTGAAATCAGCGTGAAAATCTGGTTTATAATGATGTGTCACAACGTTATCATTGCATTTAATTTTCTTTATTTATATCCAACATGGCGGATCCAAGATGGCGGCCAAAAATGAGTTCCCTATGTAAATGAAGTACTAACCACCCAATAAACTTCGGTGGTCGTCCCAAGTCAATATCTCACAAAATTTTGAATAAAATATGCATGTGGTATATTTTTTTCAAATTTGTCCAATGTTGAGAAAAGCCGCCATTTTTTATCGTGATTTTAGGGGGTTTTCGGTAGACCGATTTTTGGCAACTTTTAGTATGTCACTCTGCAGACCCAACACTACAAAATAAAACCATAAAACGTTTTCTTGACATTTTTTTTAACGTTCCCTGTGTCAGTTTTTTTTAGTTTGCTCGGACTAATAGAGATTTGTCAAAATAACAAAAAATTTAATGTTTTATTGTATAAAAATTTAAATATTTTCGTAACCATAAGTCTTAGAACCAAATTGTTATACTTATATTATAGGAAATTTAATTGTCTACAACATTTACATTACATATATTTTGCTAAAACGCACCAAAACGGAGATATAGGTGAAAATCTCTAGAAAGTACAGATTTTATCGTTTTTTCAATATGGCGGCGGCCGCGGAGGGGGTCGAATTGTGCATTTTGCTGTTTTAACACCTACTTACCATCCTAGACAACATATAAAAAAATTAGACTTACCGGACCGTTTGTAAGTTAACATACCTCTATTTACTGGACTAGTACTGGACCATGTATATTTGCGATGATAATGTATTTTTACATTATTTTTAAAATATTGCATATATGCAATATTTTCGATTACATTTTTTAAGGACTAGTCTTTGAAACATTTCCATAAATTCTAAATGTATTACTACAACCGTTTTTTAAACCAGCCTTTTCAATTCAATTTTTAGAATCAGAAAATATTTACTTAACCACATTGTTTACTTACTTTACCACACTAGTGTAGAAGAAGTATTATTGCACATGTAATGCTTTGAACGCCCGATTTGCCAACCAAAAGTTGCAGGAAGGTTTATTGAAAGATTTTGAAAATGATATTTAGTTCCAGTGAAACATTCAAAGGTAAAGTATTATAGGTAAAGCAACTTGCGTAGTTAGCCGTTATGACACTCGTACAATTTTTAAGGTGCTCGCCAAAGCTTGTGCCTTAAATTTATACTTGTATAAATAATATCTTTGTGAACTACTAACAAAACTATAAATCCTATTATTTTTTATAATGCACAAATAGTTTTGTTATGTTGCTTTTGGTTAGCGTACCAGTTTCTTTAAAAGTTTCCTCAAATATACCATCTAATTGAAATCTTATAGGTGTCAAATTAAAATGACAATCCAAGAATAATAATTTATTTTTTCTGTGAACTGCTTATAACTTATGTTGTCTGGTTTGGAACCTAAACAATAAATTTTTAGACTGCTATAATATTTGTTGGTATTGGCCTCTATAATATCCGCCACAACCAAGAGTTAAGAGAATCATTCCGAGACCCCGATATTGTAGGAGAGTCCAAAAGCAGAAGGCTGAGGTGGGTTGGCCATATCTTGAGGAGAAATTTATTTATTTTTTATTTAAAGAGGTTGGTGGCCTCTTTTTAACCTTGCATTTTCCCGTCCACATAGACCAAGCGCCCGTGCGTGGATCGTTTACAGCAAGGAGTGAGCCGGTACAGTACAAAGATGAACTGTACTGATAAATTTTAGTGGCAGTGACCAGGATCCGAACCCACGACATCGCTGCCTTGGGCCCGAAGTTCGCGACGCTACCGACTGAGCCACCGACTCACAACTGAGGAGAGCTTGAAGAAGATACTAAGAGGAGATCCGAGGGGAAGGAGACCAGTGGGAAGACTGGCGCCGCGCGGTAGTTGGTAGTTAAGTTGTGACTTGTGGGGATGGGGGTGGGACTGGGAGGGAGAGGAGGGGCAAGTCAACCGTAGGCCCTACATGCTGGCCTACATGCTATTCCCGTAATTTGCTGACGTAACCCAAATTGCAAACAAAAATCAGCTGATGATATAAGTATACATTTGTTTTGATTTTCTTATTGTTTTTACAATTTTTCTCAATGGTAAAATGGTGTTTGCAATCTGAGTGACGTCAGCATATGACGGGAATTAGCACACCTATGTGCTAATTCCTTCCACCATGCAGGCCTCCTTGCCTCTGATAGTATAGTGAGTGCGCCCGGTTCCTGGCCCGGTTCACACTGCTGCCTGCCTTTCCCTGACTACATGAGGTATAACCTGAAAGTTGAGTATTTTCAATTTTGTTGTATTTATTTACTTTTACAATAGGGGAAAATCACTTAACTACAAGTTGAAATCACCCTTTATATTTTTGAAATCCCCGGCTGATAAAACCATATTTTTCCTAGTGCGTGCGGTGGTTATAATTCAGTTCAATGTAATTTTAATGATTTTTTCTCTAGATTTAAGATGATTTTTGAGGACCATTTTCCACTAAAAACTTGTAAAGCAGGACACCGAAAAAACAATAGGAAAAAATGGGTAAATTCAGAGATTAGAGAATTAAGTGCTAGGAACAGAGAATTGCAAGCCTTGGCAAAACAATCTGATAACCATGCCTTTAAAGAGTATTGTAAAGTTTTTAAGATAAATTTCAAAGCTGTCTGTTCTAGGGCAAAAAGAAATGCAAACACCTCTTTTATAGAGAAAGCAGACAATAAAAGCAAGGCAGTGTGGTCAGTTGTTAATGGGGAATTAGGTTTAAAGGCAACTCAAGAAAATAGCTTTTCAGACATTGTTTTCCAAAATAAGTGTTTAAAAGATGGTAATAAAATAGCTGATACTTTTAACAATAAATTTACTGATATTTGTTTAGAGAATGAAATTTCACCATCAAGGGAAATGGCAGTTAGATTTGCAATGAAAAATAATGAGTGGAGTCAAAGTTTACCAGTTTTTCACTTCAGTCCAGTAGATGAAAACCATGTTAATAAAATAATCAAATCATTGAAGAACAAGCGATCTTCAAGATGGGATGAGGTTCCTTTGTTTTTATTGAAAAGGATTGCCAATCAAGTTTCAAAACCATTAACAAATATTATAAATCAGTCACTCATTTCTGGAACATTACCTTACCAAATTAAATATGCAGAAATAAAACCACTGTTTAAAAAAGGAAGTAAATTGGATATTGACAATTATCGGCCGGTGTCCCTGCTTCCTGCATTTTCAAAGGTTTTTGAAAAAATAGCTAATAAACAAATCTTATCATTTTTTGAAGACAATAATTTATTTATCAAGGAACAATATGGATTTAGAGAAAATAAGAGCACAGTTTTAGCCAAAGCAGATTTAATCAGGTGTGTATCGGAGGGCTTGGATGGATCGCAGACCACAGCTGGTGTGTTCTGCGATCTATCCAAGGCTTTTGACTGTGTGGTACATGATATTCTTCTTGATAAGTTAAAAGTTTACAACTTCTCTTCTTCCGCATTATCTTGGGTTAAGTGTTACCTATCTGGTAGACACCACAGAACTGTTATTAAAAAAAATGATATGGTTTTTAAATCTGAATGGAGGAAAGGAACGCGGGGCGTGCCTCAGGGTTCAATTCTTGGTCCTATTCTGTTTTTAATCTATATAAAC